TTTCGAGCCGATACAATACATCGTTCCTCCAAACTGGCCTCCTTTATTTTTAACCCGTTCAACGAGTTGTGATTCACCGTGTCGCATTCCCCTTCCTGTTCTTATTTTTATAGTTCCGTGCACGTATATCGAGCGTCGATTACTATTTATAACCGGTACATTATTTATTTTTTAGGTAGATTTAGTAAAAAAATAATGAAAATTGTTGAACATTGAGGTATTTTTAAAAGTCTTCAAATTAAAATTTTAAACGAGACAGGTTCCACTTAAAATAATTATACACTTCGACAAATAATATTTTTCTGGAATTAGGTATATTAGGTACGCGCCTTAACGATCTGGTTACATCACCGAAACAACTTGTATATTTAACAAAAAACGCGTAGTAGAAACATAATAGTGGGAGTATATAGTAATTTATTACGATACGCATCAACCGCAAGCATATAATCACGTTAGATTGTAGTTCTTTTGTTTTCAATGTAACGGATATGGAAAATTTCAGTATGAAATTCAAAGCGCTGATTTTGAATCGATGCACTCGATTACAGCATCCAGTGCAAAATGAATACGACTGAAATATTGATTGGTTAACAATGCTAGTCCTATTTAAAAATAGAATATTAAATATTTTAAGATTTGTAAAAGTGATATCGACAGAATAAATCACTATCGAGTTAAAACATTGAAGATTATAAGATTAGTGACACGAGCAATCTTATTTGGACATTAAAATATCACTCCATCTGAGACTACAGTGTCTTGCGAGCAAGAAGCACAAGGTTCTCCGTGATGCAAGACACGAACGGCCTTCACTGCTCTCTATCGTTTCAAAACTTGAACCGACTTAATCCGCCTAGTGTTAATCTCCACACTGGACTGTTTATGCGTTCTCACGTGCCCACACGGACGTCTCAATCTATCAATACCCGTGAAAACAACAAACGAACTTTGCACTATGCCAAAAAAACAAACAAAATGCACAGAATGAATCCGACATCAGAAATATGCACACAACTAATTGTTATCCGAAAAGCTTCTTCTATCCGAAATTAGATCAAAAATTTATCAATAAATTGTGAAGAATTATGAGAAATATTTTTAAAGAAATTTCTGTGATATTATAAGAAGCCTTTCAGGTCTCAGAATTTCGAAATTGGAACCTATGTATTTTCATAAATAATCTAGGAGTTTCTTGATTCATGAATCAGAAACGCTTGTACGATTTATACAAGACGCGCCGCAATATGTGGACATAATTTCAGTGGTGGATTCAGAATAATAAATGATAAATAATGAAAGAAGTTCATGTGAATTTGTATCCAATCTAACCTTATTCCCAAGTTACAGCCTGTCCTGTATTCCGGTGAATCTTTTCACAAACTGATCTCTGCATTCAACTCTTTACACGTAACGTTTGATATCTCGTTGATTATGGAACCACAGTTGGACACCTCAGTCACCGGACTTAAATCCTCTGGACTGAGACGTTCGTTTACAACATATCAGTAAATAAGCTTTTTTTAGTATTTATGTGTGCTGAATCCACCACTGAGATTATGTCCACACATTAAGGCACGGCCTGTATAACTAAATATATTCGTCAATATTTTTCTGTGCTCCTTCATTTTAATTTGCATTCTACAACTAAGAAAATGTTTCAGTATAAAACTTTTCAATTTCTCTTATAATTTCTCGAAAGACACAATCTACTGAAAATAAACTCAATTCGCAATAATTGATCGTGTTAATTTACTGAAAAAATAATAGCAATATGCGACAGATTTTTCAATTGTAAGAAAATGCTTCGCTAGAAAAATTTTAGATTTCTCTCATAATTTCTTGAAAGGCATAATTACGTATTGCGTAACTCAATTCACAACAATTGATCGCATTAATTTTCTAACGAAGAAATAGAAATTTGCGACATTTACAAGAACATTTTTCATCAGATCTCGAGTGCTAGATTCTTTATTGCTTCCAACCTACTTTAAAATGCAAATTCACGACCAGAGCCGGTACATTCACCTACGCGCTGATGACCTAACTCTTCTCTGGGTTTCCTTATTGGCGTCTACGTAAAACAGGAATTCCCGCTAAGTTTGCGGCGATGTCTGTGCCGGCATTTACTTATCGCTGACCCATGGGAGGAGGATTCGTCTTGCTCGACGAATTCTGCTTACATTAGCAAACACGCGATTACACTGATAACCGTGAATAATCGTCTTAATTTAGACTCTCGTTACGGACGTATCGCGATTCGTAATTGGTAAATCGTATATTACTCCTTTTTGTTCCTTAATCGCGAACGAACGATCGTGAGAAATGATTTCGCTGAAAATAAATAAGTTAAGCGGTATTTATAGACATTGGGATTTATGCAAGATCTTATTAAGTTGTTCTTTAACCCTTTCATTACTATTGGCGCCTATAGGCGTTTCGAAAATTTTTTCGCATTACAGTATATTCTCCACGAGTGTCAGACCGCAAGGAAGCTAAACCTGACACTTGTAGAATCAGGGACTACGTTTTCGAGCCTCGCGCCCGCCTTTGTAGTTTGCCGAACGTAGACAAGGACAGCGAATAAAAGATAAGCATGAAACGTGAGTCCTGGCAACCAAGCGATTTAAATATCAACTTTCTTAATTTTACGTTTTTTTATCCCGAAATTTTTCTTAACATATTCATGAGATTTTTCTGATGAAAATGACATAAAACACGACATTATTTGAACAACATTTACTTATTAACACGTTCACTGTCACGCCAGATTTACAGGTTGCTGTGGGGGGGCCAAAATTCTCGTACATATTCCGAAAACCGATTTTTAATTGCGAAACACTACTGAGACGGTTTAATTTGGGGCAGCCAGCTCATATTTGAGCTGGCAA